ATTGGCCAGTGATCGCCGTGCTGCGCGCGCTCCCAGGGAGTGCGCACAAGCAGGGGAAGGGGAGGCAGTTTATAAACGGCCACCAGACCCTGCACTGCCACCGCCCGGCCGTTTATATAAAACGGCCGGACGGGAGGTGGTTAAGCAAATCAAAAACACACCTTTTGATTGGGTTAGGTGCACACACACACACACACGCTAGGCACAAAAAGAGCCAAAGTCTTTTTCTTCACTCCCGGATGGGGAAGGGTTAAAACATCAGCCAGTTTACCTTTTTCGGTGTCCCACTGTGGAAATGTCCTCTTTGTCCTGGAGAAAAACAGGAAGTGAGGGGAAATCTCTCCAGAATTTTCCTTAGATAGTTGCTGAAGCAAAATGTCAACATTACTGCAATGTATAAAATGTGAACAGGCCCAAACTCTTCAATTAGCGCCCTGGGAGCATGGCATGGGCCATGGGCAGGACATGAGGGCCACAAAAATGGGTATTTTAGCTTACCAGTAAATTCCATAACTCTGAGTACAGTATAGAACACAGGTGTTGATTTTTAGACCATGGGTTTAGACCATGACCTTCAGGTGACTGAACACTGGCAAAAGATTTGCTGGGAACCGACCCAGTGCACCCACATGGAATTCACAGGTATGTCAAAATTCCTATTATCTTAATCGTACAGGACTTGATTTTGAACCATGGGACATCTCCAGGCAATAAAATGGAGAGGTTGGCAACAACAACAACGCAACAGGCCCAGAGTAAAAAAACAAGAGGGGGCACCTGATCCAAACAGTCAACAGCAGTAGCATCTTGTAGCCGAAGCATTGATCAGCAGAGGATCAAGTAGCCACTTGTGAAAAAACAGTTTTGAAAAGATGGAGAAAAACAGGTGGTGGCCCTGCAACTTGTGAGAAGGACAAATGCTAAAATGCTGTAAAAACCCCAACATCTTTAGGAGAATGATATCAAGTATGGAAGGAGGGATTAATTCCTTGAGGGCAGAAACAATAGAAAAGTGAGCAAAATAATCACCCAGCTGAGTGGAAGAAGAGGGAGAAATCTCAGAGTAACTGCCCTGTGAGCAGCATAAGAGGGGTGAGCTCACAAGGAAATATATGTATGGTAGCATAACAGTCCAAATCCCACACAGTAAGTGGAATATAATTGGTTCATAGGCCTTCAAGGCAGGACATGGGGAGGGAGAATGATATTCCCACAAAAGGTGAAAAGAAGAGTCCCAGGAAACAAATGGAAGATGTTGCAGGATCAGAAATGGGAACTATTTCTAGGATGGGGATCCCCATCACACGAATGAGAGCTACCTCACCTGATAAAATGCAGATATGGGAGGGAAAAGCAATATGTGCCCCAAGGGGAGAAGGGCACTCTACCTAGATGTTGAAATGTGAACAGCTGGTGAAAATCAGGAAGTGCAGTCATAACCAAAGATGCTTTGTAAGAAAGGAATGAAAAGTGCCGAGGCAGCCATAAACCCATATGGAGGGGAAACAAAAGCATACAGAAAGTACTGAGAACAGGGGCAATGCAACTTTTCCAGTATGAATTTGGCAACTGGAGTAAACCGATACCAAAGGCCAGGTCTAAAAGGATGATGTCACATTGATCCACTGCGGTTTCCCAAAAAGTGCGGGTGCAGCACAGCTTACTCGAGGTTTCAAGCAAGTTACCTGCTCTTTATCACAGACTTCCATTAGGCAAAGCATCCTACCATTGAAGTACACTTGTAAGAATTTCTGCTGCAACAGTGCAAAGACTACCTTTCCAAACCACATTAGATTATGCAGTACAGATAGAATACACGGCTATATTTGCAAAAGGTGGGTACTTTGAGAAGTCAAAAACATTTAAGTGCATTTTAAAGAATAGCCCATTGTTTATTTTTTTCTCTTTAAGTATATAAAAACAGTCTAAAACAAAAATAAATCTTAAACCAACAATGTAATATATTGCAGCTTATCAATCGTTCGATGTGGTGGCTGCATTAGTTTTCTTCTTTTCTTTTTTAAAGACTTTTTCCCTCTGTTTTCACCTGATGATTTGGCCAGTAACACCTCCTGCATTAGAGTGCCTCCACTCTGGATGAAGGAGCACAGGGGGCACCTTTGGACAACAGCATTGTCAGTCGGGGGGAGGGGATTATTAAATGTACTAGCAAATTTAGATCCACTAACAAATTGAAACCAAACTCCAGCTCACACTGCAGTTAAACACAAGCAGTTACAGCAAACAGATTTTTTTTTACTTTCGAGATAAAAGGTTTTACAAAAATAAAAGCTAAGTCATTGTAAGCACTCCTGTCAGAGAGCTTGTTCTGTTGAAAAACATCAGACTTACTAGCCAGATTACCAGGTAAAAATTAAAAAAAAAATAAAAAAACAAAATCCTAGAAAAGAAAACAAATGCAGCCATCACATCTAAGAATTGGCAAGCGTCAATATAATAAATATTAGTTTTTGGACTTAACTTAAAACAAACGAAAATTAAACTGGCCCAGAAACATCTGTTTCCCTTACAGAAGTCTATTACGGTTTCTCTTGTTGGTAACTCTACGTTCAGATTGGTTAGCACCCCACACCCATCAACAGCCTTTTCAAATTTATAGAAACTCAGAAGTCACTACTACATAATTAGGCCTACAGAGGTATGTGGTAGTAATGCCTTATTTAATTTTCTTGTTCCATGCACCCCCTCCCCCTTTCAGGTGGTCAGAATTATTTTTTTTTTCCATAGTAATTTGGAACAGAACAAAGAGTTAAAAGCCAACATCAATCTCTTACTTGCATCCCTCAATTTATCAGCAGGATGTAAATGTGCTCTGACAATGGAGAATCAATAAATCTGTGACCCAGAATCTTCCACAGCCTGCAAAGTAAATGAGCAGCATCTGATCCATTACAGCAGATTGATGCACCCAACAGTTACTTTATATAAATAATAAACTAGCTGTATGATAAAAAGTTTGCCCTTTGAGTTAATCAATTAATATGTCCCCTCTGACCAAAACTTTGAGAAAAGAAATGTCTGTGTTACCCCAGCAACCAGTCAGCTTTGCTGCTCGCAAATGTTCTAAAGTTGCCATGGAAACATGAAACAGAGGAGCTGATTGATTGCTAAGCAGTTCTTTCCTGGCTATAGACATAATATGGCAGTCAAATCACATAGGACAAAAACAGGGATCCAATATGTCAGGAGAAGAGAACTACAGAAACACAATACTCGGGGCTACGCATCTATACAGAACAAAGGAAATCTAAATATTAAAATAGATTTTGGTCATGAAACAATCAAGTGATGCCTGTATGCAGCTTTGGGAGAGTGAATATTGCTGTAGTTGTAAATTTGATGCGTTAATTTAAAATGCCCATGTTTTAACTTTTTCTCTGCTTTGAGACGCACCCAGTAACAACATTTTACTATGTTGCTAGCTACAGCAAAAAGGGGAAACAATCTGAACAGTTGTTTACTTTCTATATTGTTGCACAAGTAATATACAAGGCATTTAGGTTTTTGACAACTCATACACAAGTCTTTGTGTAAAAATTAGTAACTTTAACCAGAACCAAAAAGAATGGCAAAATCCCCCCCCCACCTTTTCCGATACATCAGTTTGGGAGGTGTACAGTAAGTTGTTCTGGTAGAGGTTCCAGATCCCAACATGACATTCTGCTATGCACAATGTAGCTCTTCCTGACAATAGTTAAGGCATTTTTCTGAGGTCCAAGGTTCCACACAAATGTAGCCAGGTTGGGCAAAACCAAGGGCGGACTGACAACTCATGGGGCCCCCGGGCAATAGGGGATCATGGGGCCCCTGTGTCCTTGCCCAAACTCAAAAAAGCCTATGAAAAAAAAAAAAAAAAAAAAAAAAAAAAAAAAAAAAAAAAAAGGTACCAGGGGCATCTCATGGGGCCCCCTACTGACCCCGGGCCCTCGGGCAGTGCCCAAGTTTGCACAACATTGCAAATTTTTGATCCTCCATGGGCAGAACTTCCACAGTACAAGTTGCGATATACCTGGGTTGATATGAGAATGTTTTGAGCGAACTGGGGCCAAACATAAAAATGCTTGATTCTGTAACACGGTCGCCGATGTATTGATCTACTGGTATAGGACATACATTAAAATGATTTTTGTTCTCTGACTGATGCATTTAAAAAAAATACCAGTTGATTTAGCTGGAAATCTTGTAAGCCGATAATTGCCTGTGCAAAACTATGCCTCTATGTTATGGATACTAGGAGAAGGGCAGGGTTATGTAGTCCTAGCAGGTTTCTGATGTCCAGATATATTGGGTTGAGGGAGTACACCCTAGCAAAGTTTTACTAGCAGAATCAGCAGGTGCAAACAAAAAGAAAAAAAGGTGAGGTGGCTGCATTAGTTTTCTTGTTTTAAGACTAAGGACTGGTAAGCTGGAATACATTACATTTGCACTGCCTTATTAAAGCCATACAAAGTGCAATAATGAAATGCACTGCCTTATTAAAGCCAAAGTGCAATAATGAAATGCAACATATAAAAATTAAAAAGGCAACCAACAAGATTTTACTCCAAATCACACCAGTGCTCTGCTCCACCGTAACAAAACACTCACCTTTCTGTCTCTCAGGAGGAAGCCAATTAGCCTGAAATCAGGCTTCATTTATCAATATCTTGGCGTCCAAGAACCATTTTGATTCCTTTCCTCTAATTTTCACATTGCCGTTAAGATTTTATTTTTCTTTCGATAAAAGTAAGCCTAGTATTTTTCTCTTGAGGGTTGGGGTTTAAAAATCCAGAACCCCCATGTCCTGCACAGTACAGTGCATCCTGCATACACATTCAATTACTGAAGTCTGATCAATGAAAGGTGAAAACTGACTGCTTGTTTTTGGTTACTACATTATCAGTTTGAGCTGTCAGCTAAATAAGCCTGTACTGTTAGGTACTGTATTCCAGCTACCAACATTTGCCCCCTGCATTAACACGTCAGTACGCATATGTTACCTTGCATCCTGCCTGCAGCCGTGGCTTCGTGAGTGGAGTCGTGGAACAAAGTTCAATAGCTTCTGGTTCATGGAATATGACAGCTGGGAGAGGCTCTTTTCGAAGGGTCAGTACATTCAGCTTTGATTTTATCATGGTCTGGAAGTGCTGTGCACAAAAGAAGATTGCATAGATTACAAGTAAAGAACCAGCAAAGGAAATAGCTAAACAAGCCTCTTAATTAAACAACAGCCCCCTTCAAGCAGTCTTATGGCTCATTTGCCATTGTGTAACAATCAATGCAAAGAAAGAAAAAAAAAATAAACAGCAACCATGATGCACATGTGGTTTTTCTTATGCAAGCTGCTGAAGTGGTTTAAATAATCCTTTCATCATGCCACAGCAGCAGTCACATTTTGCACGCTGCACAACACATTTTTGGAGGCATAAACAGGGCTCTCTGACCTAACAAAAGTACAGACTCCTCTGTGCAGTAATCCGGGGAATATTAACCTTGCAACAGCCGGAGGGTCACCACAGCAAAAAAAACAGATTACTTGCTGGCTATAGAGAGGAATGGGCGATGATCTCCATGTGGAAACAAAGATCGGGTAGGTTAGCAAGCCTTGCCCAGTGATTACACTTTTCACCCAGAAAAAGATATGGCAAGTCTGTGCTTACCTCCATGGTTCCTTTTAAATCGTTTAATAAAAGCAGCAGGGTTGACCCAAAAGAATTCTACAAAACTAAAGCTGGCCATACACGAATTGCCATTGTTGCAGCCAAGCCGATGCAGGTATTGCCTGGCTATCCTGACAGCCGCTGATCTGACTGGCTGAAGGCATTGATCAGACAATTTTTGGTATAGCGCCTTTGACAAAAGTCAACTCATTAACTGACTTGTTGAGCTGGTGGGGTCACCCACTGTTACATTTTTGAACAATTCCTCTAAATCAGTTTAAATTCTCTATGTTCACACACATATTATAGACACACACACTACATTCATAACGTATTCAGACCCCCTTCACTTCTTTCAATGTTATTATGTCTGCAAAACAACCAGCTCTTGGAAGAGGCCTGGTTGTCACTGGCTGGGAAGGGGGAAACATCTAGGGCAATCAAGGGATTACATGTAAAAAAAGTGTGCTGCTTTTACTAATAGATCCAGAAGTTTCTCACCCCATGCTTTGCAGGAATGAGAAACGGAGGTCATTCCCTATGTACAAAGCTCTGTATTGAATGTCAACACAGGCTGTGTACAATCACAGCACAGAGCTCCATCAGCAGGTCCTGGTCGTGAATCATTGGCCGGGACTTGCCGACAGGCTCCCGCTGTATACAATCACAGTGGGTGGGGGCAGCGGGACACGCATGTGCGGGCTGGGGACAGTGTGCACCTGAAACCTGGAAGTGGGGCAGTGACATATGAGTAAGTAGTTTGCCTACAGTGGCCGCACATCCGCTGTACATTGCTGGCCAGCGGTCGTTGAGTGGGTAAAAACAGATCGATCAATCTCTGTTCAATCCTAATGTAATGACTGCCTATCACATTTTGGGAGGCCCTGGAGGACCAGGACAGTGGAAGCACTCATAAAATGACATTTTGGAAAGAAAAGACCCCAAGGTATTTTCTAAGAGCCATGGTGAGTGTTTTGAAAACTTAAATTTTTTGCCACAAACTTATGGAAAATGTAGAAATTTTTTTTTTTTTTTTTGTTACACAAAGTTGTCAATTTTAAATAAGTCATTTCTCATACACAGCATGGGCATACTTCTATTTACAACCTAAAGCACATTCTACTACTCCTCCAGAGTATACCATGTGTGGGACTTACAATGTCTGGTACCTAATCAGTCCAGATACTGAATCTTGTATATCACATAAAGCAGGGCTTAAAATTTTGAGTCCAGACCTACTAGCCAGGCACAAACCTTACTCTCCACCAGTTGCCCCACCCAACCTTGCCCAGGTCCGCCTCCAACCCCACCCCCGGACCATTCCCCCAGCCCCACCACCAACCACGCCCCCTTAAAGCTTATGAAATTACATTTTACCTTAGAATAAAGAGTCCAAAATATAAAACTGTACATCCCAGCTCCCCTGTACTCCATTATAGTGATATGACATGTATACAGTAATGTATATCCCAGCTCCCCTGTACTCCATTATAGTGATATGACATGTATACAGTATGTATATCCCAGCTCCCCTGTACTCCATTATAGTGATATGACATGTATACAGTAATGTATATCCCAGCTCCCCTGTACTCCATTATAGTGATATGACATGTATACAGTAATGTATATCCCAGCTCCCCTGTACTCCATTATAGTGATATGACATGTATACAGTAATGCATATCCCAGCTCCCCTGTACTCCATTATAGTGATATGACATGTATACCGTAATGTATATCCCAGCTCCCCTGTACTCCATTATAGTGATATGACATGTACACAGTAATGTATATCCCAGCTCCCCTGTACTCCATTATAGCGATATGACCCAGCTCCCCTGTACTCCATTATAGTATACATGTAATGTATGTATATCCCAGCTCCCCTGTACTCCATTATAGTGATATGACATGTATACAGTATGTATATCCCAGCTCCCCTGTACTCCATTATAGCGATATGACATGTATACAGTATGTATATCCCAGCTCCCCTGTACTCCATTATAGTGATATGACATGTATACAGTAATGTATATCCCAGCTCCCCTGTACTCCATTATAGTGATATGACATGTATACCGTATGTATATCCCAGCTCCCCTGTACTCCATTATAGTGATATGACATGTACACAGTAATGTATATCCCAGCTCCCCTGTACTCCATTATAGCGATATGACATGTATACAGTATGTATATCCCAGCTCCCCTGTACTCCATTATAGTGGTATGACATGTATACAGTATGTATATCCCAGCTCCCCTGTACTCCATTATAGCGATATGACATGTATACAGTAATGTATATCCCAGCTCCCCTGTACTCCATTATAGTGATATGACATGTATACAGTATTGTGGTGGCTATTTTGGGCCTATAATAATTTTCAACATATTTACCATCTGTTGTATCACCTCAACACACCTCCATGTATGTTACTGTGACTGTGGGGGGGAGGGGGGGGATTACACAAAAGACTCAATGGAGGTGAGGGGGAAGGCAGCTGCTTCTTTGTGTACCTTGCTCTGAAGCCCACCCATTGGAAGATAACTTGGGTGGGTGGTTCTTGGGATGGTCTTTTGTAAAGTGCATAAAACACCTTGGACAAAGGATAAGCTCTCTCTTTATCGTGTGTGCCTTCCAGGAGCCAGACCTAACAACATCAGGGTGTCTGTAATGTATAAGCCATGCTCTATCTTTTATTTTCTATAACTTCCTTTCTTATAGTCATCTCTCTATACTGTAACATCTAATATTTTATTTCATGTAACATCAATTGATTGACTATATTAGTAACTATTTGTCTTCTGTATAAATAAATTAGATTTACTTTTTCTTTTTATTTGGCACAGTGGTTATTGGTTAGAAATAATCTACAACTGAGAGAGAGGCAACAAGGCCTGATTCTGTTGTGGCAAAAGGTTGTAATCACTTATTGTATTTGTAATCGATAGAACCAAGTAAATAAGTGTGGGAGAGGAAAACCGCCAAAACAGTATGTATATCCCAGCTCCCCTGTACTCCATTATAGTGATATGACATGTATACAGTATGTATATCCCAGCTCCCCTGTACTCCATTATAGTGATATGACATGTATACAGTAATATATATCCCAGCTCCCCTGTACTCCATTATAGTGATATGACATGTATACAGTACTTACTCGAGTCCCCCGCGGCAGTGGAGAGGGTGTCTCCCCCTGACTTCTGTCTGGACACTGCTGATTGGCCCTGTGCTGATCACATGCACTCTCCCAAAAAAAAAAAAAAAAAAAAACACAAACAAACCTCTCTAGCAATACACACTGAACTGAGCATGTGCAGAAGGAATACAGGTTTAGTCTCATCAGCATGGACATTTGAACAAGAGGAGGGGCAGAGAAATCAGGATCAAATCACTTTTTACACAATGCAGAGGACTAAGCCCTTAGGTTCCACAGTGAGTATATAAAAAAAAAAAACCCACAACATTCTTTACTGCATATAAAGATTGATTTTACTGTTGTGGGATTAGTAACACTTGAATTAAAGCCATTAGTCTGTTGGGATATGTCTATTAACTTTGCACATCGAGACTTTGCAATATTTGCCCACTCTTCTTTACAGAACTGTTAAATTTGATGGTGACAGTTTGTGGACTGCAGTCTTCCAGTCATTCCACAGATTTTAATGGGGGTTTAAGTCTGGGCTCTGATTAGGCCATGCAAGGACATTCACCTTTTTCTCCTTCAACCAATGTGTGCTCATTTTTGCTGTATGCTTTGGGTCATTATGTTAGAAGGAAAACCTTCCCATTGACAACTTTCTGGCAGAGGGCAGCAGATTTTCCTCAAGAATTTGATGGCATTTTGCCCCATCCATTTTCCCTTCTATCCTGACAATTGCTCCAGTCTCTGCTGTAAAGAAAACCCCATATACCAGGATATTACCACCTCCATGCTTTACTGTAGGAATGATGTTATTTGGATGGTGAGCTGTATTGGATTTCTGCCAGACATATAGTTTGGTGTTGAGGCCAAATAATTAAATTTTAGTCTCATCTACCCAGAACACCTTTTTCCATGTGGCCTCAGAATCTTCAAGGAGCATTTTGTCAAAGCTCAGTTGTGACTGTATATGGACTATCCTAAGGAGTGGATTTTTTCTTGCAACCCTCCCATAAAAGCCACATTTGTGGAGAATTTGTGATATTGTTGTCACATGCAAAACAATGACCACTCAAATTCCTGCAACTGCCTCAGAGTTGCTATAGGCCTCTTGGTAGCCAAACTGACCAGTTTCCTCCTGCCTCTTACATCCAGTTTGAAGCGATGCCCTGATCCAGGGAGGGTCTGTGTTGTACCAAATACCTTCCACCTCTTAATAATAGACTTCACTGTGCTTCTAGGTATTGATAAAGCCCTTGTATTTCTTTTTTGTATATATCTCCTGACTTGTGCCTGCCCACAACTTTATCACAGAGATCTTTTGACAGTGCCTTGCCACCTATAGTTGATTGTTTGCTTAATTGCACTACCAGGGACTGAAATGCTACAGGAAAGATCTTTTCATGAGAAAGTCCTCCAAGTGGGAGTAGCCAGTAGTTGTGAGATGAGCAAATGGAGGGTCCTCTTGTCCTGGAGAGAAGTCAGGGTTTCCCCAAGTGGGAACCAGAGAGAGCGCTAGACGTGTTGCAAAATGCTTCGAGTAACTACAAGAGCGGCACCAAGAGTTGCGTGTGCAACTAGGTTGGATGGTAAGGGACATCGTAGCCATGGCCAACTCAGGGCCATGCACCCAGAGTCCTTCAACTCCACGACCACGCAGTGCTTGGCAGCCCCATGACAGTGTCAGTCAGCCAGGCGTGCGAGGTGAGCAGCTCTATAATAGGAGTGAATAGCCGGCAGACCCATACCTCCACATTTCTTCAGCAAGGTCAGAACATGGAAAGCCAAAACGTGGCCCCCCATGTGACCAAATATAAGTGCGGAATAAAGCATTGACCTTCCGAAAGAAGGACGTGGGAAGCTTGATGGGGAGAGCTTGTACTAGGTATAACATACAGGGCAGCACTGTCATCTTAAGTGCACTACATTGACCAAACCATGTCAGCGTAAGGGATTTCCATTGGAGGTCTTCTTTAAGATTGGTAAGCAAAGGGATTAAGTTCGCCTCAAAGGCGAGCAGGATCCGGAGTAATATTAGTACCCAGATACCTGATTGGGTCTGTGGCCCAACGGAAAGAGAAAGAAGGGCGAAGGCAACTAAGGACCGTGGACTCGTGGAAATATTCAGTGCCAAGGACTTTGTGAGGTTGATTTTGAAGTAGGAGAGGCTACCATAGTCACAAAGCACCTGCAAAAAAGGTTGGGCAATGAGATAAGAGGGTAAGAAAAAAGATAAGATCGTCTACAAATGCAGCCACTTTATGTTCCCCAGATGGTTTATGGAGACCAGAGATATTACAATCTGCTTGGATTGTACATAGAAAAGGCTCCAGCATCAAAATAAAAATCAAAGGGGATAAAGGGCATCGCTGACGCGTTCCACTGTTGAGAGGAAAAAAGGCAAACCTAGTTTCATTAACTTTGACAGATGCTGAAGGTTGAGAGTATAAGGAGGTGATCCAGCAAAACATGGATGTACCAATACCAAATGTGAGTCAAAGTTTTGTGCATAGACTACTAGTTGACCCGGTCGAAGGCCTTCTCGGCGTCGGTGGAAAGTAAAAATAAGTGGGGTTGTAGCAGCAAGAATCATGTTAAGGACACGAAGGGTATTGTCTCGTGGTTCCCAAAGCAGAACAAAGCCCGTCTGGTCCCTGTGGATGAGATTAGGGATGTGGGGCAACAGCCTTTCAGTCAAGATTTTTGCAAACAGTTTCAAGTCAGTATTTAAAAGTGCGATAGAGCGGTAGCACTATTGGCACTGTGATGGGTCTTTGTCTTCCTTCGGTATCAGGGAGATGTAAGCCCTGAGTGCATCTGGAGGAATAGGCTGTCCCTTTACCAGGTAATTATATGCTGCCACCATATGGAAGGAAAGGAGGTCAAATAAGGCTTTATAATACAAGGCTGCTAGGCCATCTGAAGCTTTCTTGGATTTAGAGAGGGAAAGCGCCAACCCCAAATTCCTCTACGGAGATAGGGGCTTCCAATTCCTGACAAACGGAAGGGGAAAGAGTGGGCATACCGGACACGGATATACAGTGAGGAACAGAAGTATTTGAACACTCTGCGATTTTGCAAGTTCTCCCACTTGGAAATCATGGAGGGGTCTGAAATTCACATTGTAGGTACATTCCCACTCTGAGAAACGGAATTTAAAAAAAAAAAAAAAAAAAAAAAAAAAATCAGGAAATCACATTGTATGATTTTTTAAAAGAATTTGTCTTGCACTGCTGAACGTAAGTATTTGAACACCTGAGAAAATCGGTGTCAATATTTGGTACAGAAGTCAAACGTTTCCTGTAGTTCTTGACCAGGTTTGCACACACTGCAACAGGGATTTAGGCCCACTCCTCCACACAGATCTCCTCTAGATCTGTCAGGTTTCGGGGCTGTCGCTGAGCAACACAGTTTCAGCTTCCGCTAAAGATGTTCTATTGGATTTAGGTCTGGAGACTGGCTAGGCCACTCCAGAGCCTTGATATGCTTCTTACAGAGCCACTCCTTGGTTATCCTGGCTGTGTGCTTCGGGTTGTTGTCATGTTGGAAGACCCAGCCACGACCCATCTTCAATGCTCTGACTGAGGGAGGGGGGTTCTTGCTCAAAATCTCACAATAAATGGCCCCATTCATCCTCTCCTTAATACAGTGCAGTTGTCCTGTCCCCTTCGCAGAAAAGCACCCCCAAAGCATGATGTTACCACCCCCATGCTTCACAGTAGGGATGGTGTTCTTGGGATGCAACTCATCCTTTTTCCTCCAAACACGAGTGAAGTTTAGACCAAAAAGTTCTACTTTGGTCTCATCTGACCGCATGACTTTCTCCCATGCCTCCTCTGGATCATCCAGATGGTCATTGGCAAACTTCAGACGGGCCTGGACATGTGATGACTTGAGCAGGGGAACCTTCCGAGCAATGCATGATTTGAAACCATGACGGCGTAGTGTTCTACCGACAGTGACCTTTGAAACTGTGGCCCCAGGTCTCTTCATGTCATTGACCAGCTCCTCCCTTGTAGGTCTGGGCTGATTCCTCACCTTTCTTATCAGTGATACCCCACGAGGTGAGATCTTGCATGGAGCCCCAGTCCAAGGGAGACTGATAGTCGTCTTTAGCCTCTTCCATTTTCTAACCATTGCTCCAACAGTTGATCTATTTTCACCAAACTGCTTGGCAATTGCCCCATAGCCCTTTGCAGCCTTGTGGAGGTCCACAATTTTGTCTCTGGTGTCTTTTGACAGCTCTTTTGTCTTGCCCATGGTAGTAGTTGGCATCTGACTAACTGTGGAGTGGACAGGTGTCTTTAAAGAGCTCAGACAGGTGCTACTAAGTTAGATTAATGAGTGGAGTAGAGGTGGACCTTTTAAAGACACAGTAACAGGTCTTTGAGAGCCAGAATTCTTGCCGTTTCTTAGGTGTTCAAATACTTATGTTCAGCACTGCAAGACAAATAAATTCTTTAAAAATCATACAATGTGATTTCCTGAATTTTTTTTTAAATTCTGTCTCCAAGAGTGGGAATGCACCTACAATGTGAATTTCAGACCCCTCCATGATTTCTAAGTGGGAGAACTTGCTAAATCGCAGGGTGTTCAAATACTTCTGTTCCTCACTGTATATGAATGTATCGCCTGCTGCATATCCCGTTGAACATCTCGTGCACCTTCCGAAGAAATGTTATACAGTTTCTGGAAAAACTTAAATTCCGCGCCCATAGAATCTGAGGTGAAAAACTTCTGTCCAGTGGCTGACTTAATAGGAGATATGGGCACGAGGATGAATGCCACAAAGAGCCCGGGCAAGAATAGTACCTGGTTTGTTGGAATACTCATATATAGTGTGGTGGGACCAAGCCAACTTTTGCTTAACCTTGTGAAAAAAAAAAAAAGAGTATTAAATTCGTCCCTGGCTTTTAAAATACCCTGATAGGTTGCCCTGGCAATGCTGGTCTTATGAGCACCTTCCACACGTTGGAGTCAGGTCAATAGAGTGTCTATCTGGGAAGAACTTTCTTTACGTTTAGCCGCAATTGCCATCTAAGTACCCTGGAGAACAGGTTTATGGGCCTTCCTAAGCATGTAGGGGTTGGCTACAGGTTGGCGTTCAGGGAGAAGTACTCTCTGATAGAGTGTTCCAAGGTCACCTTAATCTCAGGGGACTTAAGCGGGGGGGGTTTGGACTACAGACATCAGGCCCTATCCGCAATTCAAGGAATACAGGGGCATGGTCCGAGAAGGTGTAGTTACCAATACATGTCTACTGAACTCTGGGGAGATCCTTTTGTTGGACAAGAAGGTAGTCTAGTCGAGAATACGTTTGATGGACTGCAGGGCAGTAAGAATAGTCCTTCACATTGGGATGGGATAT